GTCTCTCGAGCCCATACTACACACTTTCAATCTTAACTTCTCTCCTTTCACCTCTCACATTTTTGTTTTTTCAAATTCATTTCCATATTAGACCCAAACAGTCCATATGATCATCATCATCCCCTCTACCCTCCAACAAGAAAGCAACAGCATATTTACCATTTGCGCCAATTACATATATGCCTTAGATTTCCCACTTTCCATCACATTTTTGTTTTCCACTCAATCAAATGAATCCCTACCTCTCTCTCACTCTCTCTCTCTCTAGGTCTTTTCCAAAGCTAGCTTGTCTCCAATATTTTTATCATCAAATTAGTGAAGCACTCCAGCTACGGCTTTTCCATATTGTTTGGTCCCCGAAATGGAAAAAAGGAAGTTGATGATAAGAAAAGGGACCAACTACCAAGGTCCAAAAAGCATGCATGGGCCTAGGGGTGATAGCGGTGCGGTTTCGGTTTCAACCGAACCGTACCATCGGTTAGCCGAGACCGAGAATCCCCCAGCACTGCCAACCGAAGCCGACACCGAAGGGATTCTCGGTTAACCGCCAACCGCCACCGTCGGTTTCGGCTTTTGGTTGCGGTTTGCCGAGACCGACCCACACCAATTTTGAAGCAGCGGCAGCAGGGGAAGAGGAGAGGCATCGGAGGCGGAAAGCGTCGAGAGGAGGGGAGACTGGAGAGGGAGGAAGGACAGTGGCAGCGGCAGGGCGACGGCGATTGGAGAAGGAAGGGTGGGTCGGGATCTCGCTGTTGACCGCCGACGCCGAGGATGAGGAAGGCAAGGCGGCGACCATCGAGGGACATGCAATGGGAAGCGGAGACGGCAACGAGGTGGGTGGATCTGCTTACGCTGACTCCTTCCGCAGCAGCGAGCCGGCGACCTCTTTCGACAAGGAAGGAGTGGGCGAAGTCAGGCGGGGGCGATTGAGGCGGAGAAGTCGACGGCGAGTGATGATTGAGGATGGTGGTGGGCTGGTGGCTGCCGATTGGGAAAGGGTAGAGAGGGGCGAGCCGAGAGGAGAGGGAGAGATTGCAGATGGTGGTGGCTGGCGATTGGGATTCCCAATTTGGGAAAGGAAGGAGAGGGGCGAGCCGAGAGGAGAGGGAGCGGGAGATGGTGATTGAAGGGATTTGGAGAAGCGACGAGTGAAGAAGGAGAGGTTTGGAGTCTAGGGAGAGGCAGAGTGGCGATGGTGAGAGCAGAGAGGGAGAGTCTCAAGAGGAACGGCGGTTTTGGCGGTGCATCGAGATTATATCGGTTTGCAACCGTCGGTTGCCGGTTAGCCTAAAACCCCAAATCATCCAACCGACCCCGACACCGATGCAGTATTCACGGTTTTCGGTTCACCGAGTAACCGCGGTTTTCGGTTCGGTTTTCGGGTTAACCGGTAAACCGGCAACCGATTAACAGCCCTACATGGGCCTTTGCTTTGCCGCCCATCAAATCTTCAACCGGCAGAAGTGAGAGAAACGGTGATGAGGGAATGGTATGAGAGGTATTGTATGATATTTACCTAACCATTTGGGGTCGTTTGGTAAGCACGTAATTTACCCACGGATTTCAAGATTACATGATATATGAGATTCCATTGTTTTTCTTGTTTCATTTTTGGACAGAAATCATGATATTGGTGTACCATGTAATTCTAGAATTCATGTGACCATTATATCTCAAATGCTTTGGGTTTACCCAAAGTATTTGAGATTTCATGCCAAATTATGTGGTTTCTACCATAAACTCATGCAAGCCAAACAATGCATTCTAATATTACATAAGTTCTCACAACTCATCCTACAATATACATGAATTCTTCAAATACATGAATTCTACATTACGTGCTTACCAAACGATTGTAACAAGCTAGCTCTTGACATGGTCGAAACAACATGTTTTGATTAGACAAGGCAATTGATAACTACTATTGAGTTAATAAGCAGGTTATATTACTTGAGTTTGATTGAGTATAAAAAAAAAAGAGAATGATATAAAACCAATTCTAAATATCTTTCAATTACTCGAGTTAATATTACAAACTTAGTTCTTAACGTGATATAAGAGGTTTAAACGACCAACCTGCTGGTTGTCTATTGTATATTCGTCTTTTACACCTGGTGACTATCGATATTAGCGTATGCATGGTTTTAACCTCACAAAGTATGGTTAGCTAGAGATGACAAAAAAAACCCAAATGTTGGGTATGACAGAAACCCAATTTATTCCGAAATCAAATCAGTTTTCGGTAGTATAACTTTTAGGGCATGTTCGTACACCAATTTTTTGAGTTTGGATCTGAAATAGACTCATAATACCGAATACCCGATGGCAGTGCGGATTCTGCCTTTTATTTATTGATTCTGAATCAAACAGAAATGTGGAAACACTAATACTTAATGTGTGATTCGCTTGAAAACGGATCATGAGATGGTTCATATGATTTTGTTTCTGTGTACATTTATTTTGACTCAAATTAATCAATTTGGATCTGACTTATTTTAGCTTACCTGTATAGGACATGAATCCAATTCCAACATAAAAGTATTTTTTTTTTGCATTTATGACTATTTGGATCCAACCCAATATTCACATGAGTGATGACAATTGTATCAACGCCTATCTGCTATCCATTGCCATTAGGGGTGGCTATACGGTCCGGTCTGGTTAAATTGGACCAAATTGATTCGGTCTTAGTCCGGTCTTTTCGGGAATATAAGGACCAAAGATTGGATTGGATACAATCCGGTCTTGACCCGGTCCGGTCCCAATTTGATCTTGATTTTAGGTGTTGGGGGTCTCTTATCTGGTCTTTATCCAGGTTTTTTACCTCAAATCTAAGCCCGAATATGAGATTAGATTGTTTGCTATCCGGTCCCGGTCCGGGTTATACGGTCCGGTTTCGGGTAAAACCAAACAGTCCGGACCAAATAGCCAGTCCTAATTACCATACAACCCCTCCAAATGAACTTCAATCCTCATATAGATGTAATTGCAAGTGGCATTAATGGCGTCTGTGGGCGAGATGGACCGTGGGGGAAGAGAAAAGACTGAAGAGATAGATCAAATATATACACACTACAGATAGGAACAGGCAGAGAAATGTGCCCAGAGGAATTAATGGGTCTACAACCCTAGTTTTGGGGCATTGTTAGGCCAATTACCTGCAATATAGAACGAGCAAAACTGGACCATTTTCAATCCTTTCTGTCAGATCTGGTCTCTCTCATCATCTCCACTTGCTAGCCATGGCCGACCTTTAACTGTGAAAGAGACTCCCATAACTTCTGCGACCCTTCTGCAGAGTGAGCTTCTTTCAAACTAATAAAAATTACCCATGTTATCGTTTATTATTATGTAGTGATGGCAATTCTAGACCTGACTCACGTGATTCGACCTGCTTCGATTTATATGGGGTGGTTATTACCCGATTCGTAGTGGTGCGGGACGGATAGGGGCAACGCTTCCGACCTGCTCCGCGGCCGATCCATCTCCGTTCTATGATGATTTGCATCAATAACAACATGTACTTCATCCCAAAGAAATATTCGGACTATGTTTTCGAATATTTAGACTCAATTGTTCCTTCTACTATATTTTTCATTCATTTATGAAAGTGTTTTCTTGTAAGATCGAGTTGACATCAACGTTATTTGTTTCAAATAACATATAAGGATGGGCTGACCCGCCTACGCCTAGTATCTACGTGGATATGGGTATTGATCAGATACACGCCCCTGCCCCATTACTATCACTAATAAGATTCATTATTCAACATTACCAACAATTCGATTTATCAACACCAACTTATTTTTGATAGTTATAACCTTTCATCGAACAAATATTAAAAAGGTACCTACGGTTCGTCATAGACTAGACTAAACTACACGTAACTCCGCCTCTGTATCAAGATATCTACTTTTGAGGGAGGGAACAAGAGCTTTCAAGTTGAGCAGTAACGTAGGGTTAGGTGCTTGCTTGCTCTAAATTGGCGGATCTTCCGTTTTGGCTTTTCCTCTCCATGAATGATGGATTTGGTTTGGGTCCGCAGTACTACTTATTATGTACGCTGTAAGGCACACTTTCCAGCTTAGTTTGGCTATGAATTAAGAGAAGCTGAGAGTGCATACTCGTGTGTCGACCTCCTGCTTCTCCAGAAGTTGACAGAAGCCAGAAAGGCACATTAACTGTCTTTCTTTTCTGTTTTCTGGTTTTCCACTCAGCTTGGCGAAAATAGATATTATTCAAATAGATAACTAAGAAATCGTATTTCAACATGGGGATGTAGCTCAAATGGTAGAGCGCCCGCTTTGCATGCGGGAGGTACAGGGTTCGATCCCCTGCATCTCCATTTTTTCCTGTTTTTCGCATCATTTTGTGGACCCGTTTTGGTTATGTTAGTGACCCACTAAGCCAGAATTACATTTGGGCTGAAAGGCGCGAGTATGTTGGGCTTTTTATTTGATTCTTCAAGTTTGTTATCATGCAGTCAAGGCCCATGAAACTTGACGAATTGAGAGCTGGGCTTCCGTGCCATCAAGACAAGCCAGAGGGACGAAGAACCAAAGGATTGCTGTTTTCGAGAAGGTTTTTCCCATGCATCGGTTTTTGGTACCGGCAAGGTGACAGGCTTTCATGCTGGGCTATGTGAATTCTCTACGCGCAAACTGAAAATGATAAAGAAAAAAAAGACAGAATGAGATGGCTTTATCCGCATTTGAGGAAAAAGCCGGTATTAGCAAGAGTCGCTGCTAGTGCTAGAAGGAGCTCCTCGAGTAAAAGCTCTTTTTCAAAGCAAAGACCGAGAAAGTAAATTGGCAGAAAGCATCAAAGTCGTCACACTTCTACAATTTCAAAGCTCTATTATCAACTGATCTGTAAATAACTAAATAGCACTCTGAAAACAGAGGGGTTTTGGCAACTGATGCTGTTGCTTTGCGACACTGTAGGAAATCTCAGTATATATATTTGTTTCAGAAAATTGAAGGAAAAACAAAAGAATGTGGGGGTCATAGCACTCTGCATAATTAAGCTCTACTTTGTGTGTTTTTCGGATCATGGGGTTCGATAGCTGAGTTCTCAACTAGTCGAAACAAGTCAGGTAAATCGGCGGACCTTGTTTCAGTTAGTTGAGAAGTCACTTGCGTTCACGTCCCAAATTTCGTGCCCCTTTCGGCCAAATGATGTAAATCACAAGGGAATTCAAATGAAAACTGATGAGCTGCGATTACATTCTGTAAATTGCTCTGTAAAAATACCAGCAAATATACGAAATGATATGGATCTAGAGATTCAACTTCCCTAGGAAACCAACAAAGGGAAAGCAAAACACGGTTCTCAGTTTGGCTTGGGTTGGATTACAGAACCTCGTCGTCCTGGGAATAAAGCAAGCTATTCTCGTTCTCGATGGGCAACGAGGGGGGAGTACCTGGTGGGATGGAGGCCGCACCATTCTCGCCAGCATATATGCAGAGCGCCTCGGCGTCCCTGAGAAAGGGATCCAGTTCGATATGCCCACTCAGCTCGTTGATGAACTTCAACAGCGTGTCGAAATCCATCTGCTCTCCCATGATTTTGTCACGATACCGCTTCAGGATTGCGACGCACAGGTACAGGTGGAGATGCTCGGAGAGATGGCGTGTCCATAGCACCTCCCATAGGAACATTATTTGCTCATACTCAAACTCCCTGGTTTTAAGGAGATTTGGTGTCAGTGACAATAATAACCAGCATATCAGACCCCAGCAAAATAACACAGCTTGTGAAAGAACTCACCTCTTGAACTGGATCAGGATCCAGCGGAAGCAGAAGAAGTAATTTAAGCATTCTCTTGGCTGGAAGTAGTCGTGCAATGGGGCGTCTAACAATTCTACCAACTGCAACAGGAATATTGGAAACATTAGTAATTGTCACTGGCTTCGTGGCTTGAAGTCCGAGTAGTCAACCAGAACGGAATTTATTCACGAGAGGAAGAGAGGCACCTTAGAAAGAGCAAACAGTTGAGCGTGGATGCCACTTTGGTCACGGTTGAAATTTGGTCCAAGGCGTTCCATCAATTCCACGAAGCACCAAAATGATTCGGATTCATCCTCCATCACATATAAAATTGGAGAGAGCAGATCACTCATACCCTGGACAAAAAAAGAAATACTGCCTCAGTGACACTACCGAAATTGAATAAGCTCGGAACATCTGCCAGCAGGGGGGATATCAAAAGTAGCTTAAAAGAAAGAAAGGAAAAAAGTTATATAAAGCTAATGGATTGCAAAAGGAAGAAATGCCTACCTGACAGTAGCCAAGATCAAAGTTATAGAATGAATACGTTAATAAAATATCACGTAATGTTTTTACATTCGGGTTGTTATCTCCTTCGTAGAATGGTAGTGACCTATCAGTCCTCACCTTGAAAAATGAACAGAAATCCTTCAGATAAAATTCAGTTAAACGGGAATTCATAGTTTTCCAACCAGTATATAGATTCATGCGTACCACATCTTTGTCTATAAGTCCTTTCCGTTCCCTAAATTTAGTAAATCTCTTGGCTTGTTCAGGCGAGATACTCTGCAGATGAAAAGAATCATACTCTTAGACATAAAGAAAAGGAGAACTTTTGTTGCTTGGACAACATGTTTTACTGTTCACCCTAGCTCTGAAATTGCAAGCCTAACCATCCAGAGAGAACCAGCAAAAGAAGCTTGCTTGCCACAACATTGTCTAATCAGATTAACATTAGAGAAAATTTGTGATCAAGTCAAGAAACGGGTAAGGAGTTTGCAAGAATATCAACATCTATATTATACTACCCTCTGAAGTAATTAAAAGATGAGGGCAGAGAGAAAAAAACATAATAATACCAATGCTTTAGTAGAGATGAGGCCACAGATAACAGATTGGAAGCTTAAACCTTAAGCTGAGAAATCCTAAGTTCTAACAAACCCAAGAGTTACCCCGATCCACCTGCCTCATCAAGGACAGTGTAGAGCCCTCCTATAATCTAAGCCATAGTTTTAAGGATGAAAACCAAGTAGAACCTGAAGTAGCTAATCAAAACTAACCTGCCACTGTTGCTTTATCGTCATATACTCAGTCCTCTTAGACGTCTTAAGATACTCCCTCTCAGCATAAGTTGATTCGTAATCATGATATCCCAGTAAAAATGCCCAAACCTGAAGTCATTATTAGGAATTTCAAGAAAAAATCAGTTGAAGCCAGCAGTCCATCTTTATCTAAGTAACAAACAAATTATGACATGTCAAAAGGAATAGACCTCTTTCCGTATTGTGTGCTCCACTCCTCCATAAAATACCCTCTTTCTTAAAGCTTTTGAATCCATTATTCGCCCTTCTGAGTCCAAGAAAGAGGCCCACTGAAAAGGCAATCAAAAGTGAAGGAATGTTAACATAACATGCACACACTTTTATCCTCAACTGATTAGATAGAAAGGTCATCTTTAACTGCGACCTTGAGCATGGCAAAGGTCAAGTACTAATAATAGTGACAAATCCAGGACTATGCAACAGAAGCGCACAGCATTAAGTCCAATGTGCACAAATACATTGGTAGACTATGCAAATCAAAGATAAGATGATGGTTGCACCACGAGACTGCAAAACTTTTATGGGCTAATTAGCTATTATGAGAAGCGATGTCTCGCAATACTTTTTCAGAACCAGTGTCAGATCAAGATGAAAGAAATATCTACCAATTAACACCAAAAAATGAGAGTGGGGATGTCAACAATTGACGGAAAAAATGAATGCCATTAACAAATCAGACTCCATAAAGTTTCCAAACCAGAGGGGAGTCAATATAGAAGGGAAGCACAAAAACTGAATTGGAAAAGCACAAAGTAGATCAAACTAGGGAAACTTAAGCAAGAATGCGTTGAAATAGCAATTACCTCTATCGGCCCTAATGGAGACTGTCGCGGCTGGCCCCATACAAGTGCTAGCTTATCAAACTGCCCAAATAAGTTGGAGAGAACACATTTATTCAATAAGCCAGAATTGACAAAGATGATTGCTCTAATTAGCAAAACACACAATAAAGAAAGCACAGCAGCAAAAGAGATGACAAGAGATAAAATACAATGATTTGTATGCACCGATGCAAGCATAATTCCAGTGTAGATTCTGAAACAAGAATATGTTGATATTTGCAACTGTGTTTCTCAACACACAGTCAAACAAATTCCGGTTTCCAAAGAATGCTAATAGAATAAGAGGAAAGTAGGCCCGGAGACAAAACATTACCTCTATAGGATCTGCAGGTACATGAGTTTCTTCAGGAACTTTCTTCTTTTCCTGCTCTTCCTGGTAAGGGGCATCAAGCCGAGGTCGAGGAATGCCATAATTTTTTGGATCAAGAGCAGCAAAACCGTTGCTATTTTCTCGGAACAGTTGTGTTGTTGTGTCTCGAGCAAATTTTGTCACGAGAGAGAATTTTTCAAGGACGTTGATAGATAGATCACGGCCAGGATCCTGAGCTTTCTGCCAGTTCCTGAAAATGCTTTGAGAAAGAACGGCACTATTTTTACCGCCATCTGTTAAGGATGCCAATGGACTGCCCGAATCAGGTATACTCAGTGCGCTTCCCATGGAAACAGCCCCGGGCATCTCCAAGGACGACAACGTTCTCTGCAGTGGGGAAAACCATGAATCATAGTACAAAACAATAAATGAAAAGTAGAGAAAAGGAAACACTCAAAAACTCTACCGTCAAAAAGACCAAAAGCACATTTCCAACACCAACAGAAACACGTAACAATAGATTAAAAAAAAAAACACGAAAGAACTAACTTCAAATGAACTTATCAAAACAACATTTGCAGCTATTAGTTGCTAAGGAGATATATCACAATTCACAACAGATATTCAGGCTATGGTTATTGTTTTGGTTCAATAACAATAGAATAAATCAGTGGGAACAGACCTGAAGAGGATTCTGAAAATCGTTCACAAGAAATACATTTGCGTCTTCCAACGACCTGAAAACAAAATGAACACACGACAGAATCAGGAAAATGTCATTTATAATCGCTGATTTGCTTGTGATGGTAAGTAAATGAATACTGATTTGCTTGTGATGGTAAGTATATCAAGCAATAACCGACCCGAATTGACCATAACGGTCATATTGGAATTCTTTTATAGAGCAACGGTCGTATACGTTTCCCTCATGATGAAGAAATTTCCATAATATGGGAGCCCAAAATTAAAGTAAGCGGTACTTCATAAACAGAAAGTTATGAAGCGACGGAATGCATCGTGAAGTCTTTTCACCACATCAACATTTACCTACTAACAACTTGTGCCTAAAAGCAAAATGTAGTTCCAGTGTATCAATTACAGACCTGACAATCAAAACATGTTGCTTCAGTGTAGCAAAGAACTCCTTCACTCCTCCATTGTAGAAGTAAAGAGGAGGAAATGCAAGTCCTGCTCAACATGCAAATCCAACGCAGAGAGCACAGAGTTACAACATGTTGCTTCATTACACCTTGAGCCACATAAAACTGAATAACATGTGCAGCAACACAGAATTATAACTAACAGACATAAAAAGTGAAATCACAAATTAATAACCTTACAGAAGGAATAAAACTGGCGCATGACTCCTTTAAGGCATTTATCTTCAAATCTACAATCGCTACAAATCAAAGAGTCTTTGCTAGAAAGCACGTGCATCTCGTACCTGAAGACATCACAATAATTATGTATTGCCACCCAAGAGTTGGTGTATGTCGACGAATTGAACGCACGTCCGAGAAAGGTACAGCCCTGATTGTGTAAAGGTTCCTATCTACAAAAGTAAACCGAGAAAAAAATTATACAGCAGTCCCAAGCGTACGAATCACTAATTGCAGTCAGAAGTCATGCTAGCCAACCTTTCTCAGAAAGCCTAGCATTGGACCTCTGCCCTTTGTATGGACTCCATGTCTAAAACCAGGAAGCAAAAAACATGCTCTATAATCACACGGTCAAACCGAAGTACAAAGCAGACCGAATATGAATACAAACTTCCACGAAAAAGGAATCGTTACCATGAACACTGAATCCCCTTGCTTAGCCAGCTTCAGCCTTCCACTGATCCTCTCTGAAGCGAACTGCGTCGGGTGAATCGTGACATTATCCTTCGAATAAATCAGTTCAGCACCTTCCGGCTCGCTGGGAAAACTCCTACTCCCGCTCTCGGTTCTCGTCAGCATGACACTCGCCGACGCCTATCACCAATCCACCAAACGAAACAAACACGGTCCCAAGTCAAACCAGAGAAACGAAACCTAAACGACTACCAATTCAAGTTCAATCAATCGCTAATGGCGTCCAGGCATGCTCTACACTCCAGTGCTCGCAATTCATAGCTCCGATCGAATTCGGAGGGGAAGCATTCAATTCGATAGAACAATTGAAACGGAGATAAGACGGAAGATGGAGGGAGAGAGATTCAGGGGCTTACTTGCTCGACAGAGGCAGCGTAATCGGCGTCGTCGGACAAATCGTGGAGCTCGGTCTCGTGCATGGCTAGGGATTTGGAGGGAAATGGGGTTTGGGATTTTGCTTAGGGAAGAAGGAAAAAGGGGATGGGGGAAGAAGAAGGGAGGGAAATTGGAACTTGGAAGAATGCAGAAAGAGGAGGAAGAGAAGACGGAATGGGGACTTAGCGAGTGGCCCGCGTATTGACGTGATTTGGACGTAGAGGAGACTGGTAGTTTCCGGGTTTGGTCGGACCGAGTTTCTGGTTGGCTCGTATCGGATATGGTTAGGGTAGATGGTAGAAATTGGAGTTCGAAAGAAATCGTTGTTACTTGTTACGGTATTGGTTTGATTCAAGTGGGTTGGTCAATAACAACAATGATATTGAATTCGGAACGATATTACAATAAGATTAGTTGTTACACCAGTCACATAATGATAAGCAGCGACCAGGCATTTTGAACAATTTTTTTTCTTCCTTCATGCGGTTCTAATGAAGTATCAATATTCTCATTTAAAATGTGATGTTGGTTCGATCGATCAAAATCTAATCAAGAAAAAGAAAATGGATGGAGTATAATTAATTATATTGGGAGAAATATTTGTTATCTTTTTTTGAATTTTGATTTCTTCCTATGGAAGAAATAGTTGTATGGTTTGGTTTGAGAATAGTATCTGTCATATTAAGTTAGCACTAGTTTTCATTGTCGGCGTTCTGCATCGGGACTTGTGGTAAATTTATGAGATTGTGTAGTTAATGTATAATCGTAATGGTTTTTTTTTTTTTTTGTCTTTGAATTTTATCTCGAAAATGTTCATTTTTTGGCAACAAATCCAGCCATAAATTCAAAGATTTATCTTCATCAATACATTCATTTTCCGAATCTAACACTTAAACCAGAATTGAAAATTGATCTCCCAAACTTTCTGGCCCTCGTGGTGGATGGGCTCGTTAAAATTTAGTTCCTTACAGCTTCCATGTTTGATTATTAGGCCTATGCTTAGCGTGGCCATGTTTGGGCTTGGATGCCCTCCGTAATTTTCAAAGTTCGGCCGGCCCATGTATGTGTTTGTTTGTTTCGTCTTAAATTTTCATTTTCTAAAATTGTCAAACGAAAGGCAAATTTATTTAGTTTAAAAAGTTGTACATGCTCACTACGAGGGTTCGAAAATAAACATGTTCAAACTTATGTTTAGACGAGCATATAGCAGCAACAAAATATCTCACCCAAGAGTATCCGAATTCATCAGTGGAGTAAGTCTACATGGTTCGCGTAGTATGCATAATTAATTAATTAGGCAGAGCTAGACAGTAAATATCAAAGGAGACAAATTGACAACATTATTTATATATTATTCTCGTGCCTACCGTCGTCTTGAACCTTGTTCAATACCTTTAGGGGTCGTTTGGAAGTTGCGATTGTTAAATAGATGCATTGTAGAATACAACGTTTGGTATGTGTGATTGTGTATGTCGCATCAGCTAAAAGCTGAGACAAAACAATCTCAACTCAACTATCTCAACAATCACAACTAAAAGTTGAGATATAACAATCACTCAAAATGAGTGATAGTTTCTGTCACATCACAGAAACAATCCATGTATTGTTTCTGCTAAAAAAAACAAAAAAAACGATGCATTGTAAACAATATATGCATAATGACAATCTCAACAAAACTATCGCAACTTCCAAACGACCCCTTAATTTTTTGCCATAATTATCTCTGAAAGAAAGCAACATAGATATAATAATAACTCGAGTTGTTGGGAAAGGGATAATTAAGTTAAGCCTTTGTTTCCTTTTCGTTTTGTGATCATGGCGGAGAAGCAAATTAAAGTGGCGAGGAAAAAGAAAGCATGTCGATCGGCGGATAACGTAAGAAAGGCGATATTGGTGGGGTTCAATCCAAAGACGGATTTTTGTTTCACGGCAATGGTTGGTTGATAGTAAAATACGATCTCAGATTGAGCCGCGCCAATATCACTTTTTTCTCCCATCTGCTTCTCCATACTATTTGAATCCCATTATGTGTTTGTCCTCGTGGGGATCATGAGTTTTCAATACGTTAATTAGAAGGGTTTTGCATTGTTTAGTAGGGCATTATTGGTCTATTAATTGGGAGTCCTTAATCACTTGATGATCATGCCTTGATCTTTGTTTTAACAAGAGCTATGCATGACTATATTATTGTTGCTGAAGGTTGACAGGTTTTTACTTAAAGAGATTCGAATTTGAGATTTCCACCAGGTTCAAAATCGGTGATAATATCACTCGACCAATCTCTTGTTCGCGAAATGTGGGGTCAGGTGCCAAGTTACGACGAAAGGGATCGATCGCGACTTGGATTCGTATATGTTCATCAGGGCCTCTGGTAAACTACTCTATACATACTCTCATTGATTGGCATTGTGTGCGCAAAATTTCACGTATACAGTTAATTAGACCTAGTTAGCTAGATTGTTCCCCCTCACAGTCAACTGTTTTCTACTTTCTCTGGATCGGAGTAGCAAAATCGTCGAGGCAGGAGCTCTGGTTGTTGATTCAGATCAGGCACACCAACTGGATGCAGGTCATTAACAATGACTCGAGTTGTGAGTTGTTGGGAGAAGGTTATGCTGGATCTTATACAGACACATGTATGGTAGTTAACTTAACCACTTCCTTACATGCCCCTCAAATGAAAGCCGACTCATGGGCTTGAAGTTTGCACAGGCCCGCCATACCATGTGCTTGAAAGACAATGGTTAATATTGGGGGTCGTGATAACTTGGACACGTGACCTCAAAGACAAGCCAGCTCTGATACCATGTCATAAACCAGTTGGTCCCAATAACTCGAGTGGTTGGGAGAAGGTTATGTTGAATCTTATACATGCTAATATATGGTACTTAACCACTTTCTTACAATACTTGTATGTCAATAATTGTCGCTAGATTCCACGATACAATCTTGATTAGTTTCCTCATAAACGAAGGTCCGTCTGCATTTCAACTTGTCGTTACAACTTATAAGGACACAAGTTACATATGTTTTCATCATCCCTCGCAGACTCAGGGATGACAACTTTAACCCGACCCATTTTTACTCCTGTTTTGCTAGATTTGTGATTTCTCATTGTCCAATCTACGGTCAAGCTTGTTTGAGTTGGTGTTCGAGGCATGATTCATGATGGACTTTCCTATCCTTTCGTAGCAGGTCAAACAAAAAAAATTTCCTTAATGGATATGGATGGCCCAAAATCTATGGTGTAGAAAAGCCCGCAGCTCGCTGAATCAAACGACAGCAAATCCACCCGTAGGCCCGGCCCAACCAGAAACGATCACAATATTTTTTAAATTAGCCAATCATTGCCCGCCACGTGACAAGCAGATAAGCCGTTGCCGCTCCACGCACGAATTTGTCGATATTCCTAACGTTACGTGAATAACCCGCGCCTTTTCACCAATCCCCAGCCGCGACGGCACGGCACCGTTTCGCCTCCGCTGTGGATTTCGCGAAACTTTTCGAATCATAGGGCGGTTGGCCCGATTCAGATAGGAAGAAAACGAAACGATGCAACCTTTTTCCCTTTTCCTTTCTCGGCAGCCAAGCACCCAATTCCCAGAACGAAAAACCCTAATTCGACGCTTCCCCGATTGATTCCGATTTGAATCGAATCCCTTAAGTTATTTGTTCATCGCGAGATAGGTAGTTTTCGATTTGTGTGAAATCGTTGTTCTGTTTGTGGGTAAATTTTAGGGATTAGATCTTTTTGCTGCATGATCGGGACGAAGGGATTGGAGGTAGGATTAGATTAGAGGTGGAAAGGGGGAATAGCGAGAGAGATAGGAAGAAGAGAGAAGAGAGGATTCGATCAGAAACTATGTCTGCGATAGTGTGCGGGAAGAGATCCTTCTTCGAAGAGTTGAATGTGACAAGCCCGCCTGTTAACAAGAGAATCCGTTGTTCTTCGTCTTCCCCTGTCCGTTTCTCGCCTCCGAGACCCAGCCCAGCCAGCAGCTTCTCCACCCCGCCGCGGGCCCCTGTCGTCAGCTCGGCTTCTGCGCATTTGGTCGAACAGCTCGCCGCTATTTTCCCTGAGATGGACAAGGAGGTAAACTTTTTTTATTTGTTGTCATTGGGTGGCTGGATTGGTTGTTGATGGTTGGAATATGTAGCGTTTCGATTTAGGGATGGTAGGTGACGCCCAATTTTGGTTGCCCATTTCGATGTTTTTGTTTTGTAGCTTCTTGAGAGAGCACTTGCCGAATGTGGGGAGGATTTGGATTCAGCCATAAGGAGCTTGAACGAGCTTCGTTTGGGATCGGCTGATAAGAATTTAGATTCTGATGGTGGGAAATGTGATGGACTCCTTGATGCTAATGGCAATGTTCAAGGTAATGCTCTTTTTCAGACTTTTGTCAGTTTCTTAAAATATCATTCTTGGCTTAATTGGATGTTTTCCAATGGTATACATGTGAATGTTGTTGTATGACTCTGCACTGCTCTTTGCTAGAAGATATGATCATGAAAGAGAAAGACTTTGGTTTCAGTTTGATGTATATTTGGTTTGAATGTGAATGTCTTCAATCTGAACCAGCACATGCGTTTAGCTCGTTGGGTTTTAAGATCGATATGTTTGTTCACAACTAGTTCATTTTCTTTATTTTTAAGTGTTCTTCCCTTGCTCTAGTACGCAAGGGAATCAGGAGAAATAAACTGTAGTGTTTTTGTCTATGTTCTATGGAGAAGTTTGGTGTTTGGCTTATATTTTCCGTTTATTAGGAGTGTTTGCAAAATGTATTCTTCTTATTGGTGTTTGGCTTATATTTTGATCTAGTTCACAGCCGCTGTTGTTTGCTCCACCAACTATATCTATTAGCTTCCGTTATATGACGCTAACTTTCATGAGATTAGACATGTTCCAACATTTAAACCATTCGTGACATACATAAACAGATGCATATTGCAACAGCGGACTAATAATTTGTAATGCTTGATTTACTAGCTCTGATTGTTTTTTTATTGGACGACTTCATTGCAGGTGTTGAGCCAACCAATGCTTCAGTTCCCCCAGCTGAGGATCCTTCAATTCCAACACATGTTCAAATGGACGGTGCAGAGTGGGTTGAGCTGTTTGTTAGAGAAATGACTAGTGCTTCCAACATGGATGATGCCAAAGCACGGGCATCAAGAGCACTGGAAGCTCTCGAGAAATCAATCTATGCACGTGCAGGTGCAGAAGCAGTGAAAAACTTTCAATTGGTTAGTTACTTTGATAACTCATCCCTCCACCCCCTTCAATTTTCCTCCTCTCTTGTTCTCTTTCTTGTAGTAACTGTATGCACAACAAACGGTTAAAGCTCAAATGACTTCCCTAGCTCTCTGATATGTTGGTAAATTCGCACTTGGTTTTATAGGAAAACCTAAAGTTGAAGGAGCAAGTCCAATTACTCATACACGAGAACACCATTCTGAAGCGAGCTGTAACAATTCAACATGAGCGGCAGAAAGAGTTTGATGACAGGAACCAGGAACTGCAGCACTTGAAGCAACTGGTGGCTCAATATCAGGACCAATTGAGAACCTTGGAGGTTTGTGGAACTTCTTAACAACTCCATTGTAGATCTATATCAGCAGTATGCAAAACTGCTTTCTGATTCCCTTTCCCGCGCATGGGGTTGTAATTCTCTGCCAGGTGAACAATTATGCATTGACGATGCACCTGAAGCAGGCTCAGCAAAGCAGCTCGATCCCCGGGCGGTTCCATCCCGATGTCTTCTAATTGAGCATACAAACAACTTTGCTGAAGCATACATAATATCTAAACAGACATTCCCCCCCGATGCTCTGCAAGTATGTTTTTATAGTTTGGTGTTTGTCTTGCACAGATTTCAGTTCTTACTTTGATTCTTTTCCTAAAAGGTTGGCCAAGATTGAAACTTGGAAGGCCTATCAGTTATCAAAAGCCTCTGGGATGTGCTTAGGGGTGTGTAGCTCATTTCCGTCTGTACTTTGGTTTACAATTATAGTTTTTTGAAGTGTGTTGAATCATATAAACTTCAGACATATTATTAGTTTCTTATTTGAATAATATCATAAACCCTAATCGGTTTATTTTACACAAGGTCTTAGATTTACCTAATATGTTGACTTGCCCTGATCTGTATTTCGAGCCCTATGAGCCAACTCTTAACTGATTTTGCGCCATGATTTTGACCCTTGATATGTCTAACTAAGAGATAATTGATTAGTGGTGATTGGTCTAATTGTGCTTATGAGTGGTGGATTAATCTAATTGGAAAGATGAGGCCAAAAAACCATGCTCCATTAAACCGTACCGTTCCAACGGTTCAACCACAAAATACCAGTATCGGAGGCTAAACCGATAGGCGGCATTTAACGGTACTAACGGTTGAACTACGATTAAACCACAGTTTTGTCATAAAATACCCTATCGCTGACTTCTCCGGTACGGTTTCATGGACCATGCAAATAACATCAAACACTAAACTCCATCTCCCAATTTAACTACCAAATCCTATTTCTCTTTCCATGTAAATGAACAAAAGAACAAACATATAGTAATTCTAACATTCTCAATTTGTAGCTTTAGAATTCTACAGATGGTTGAAATCAAGTAACCAACTCCTCCCTCTCGACCTTCAATTTCTTCCCCTCGCAACGGCCTCGATGAATGAATGAATCAGAACACCGGAAGGAGCTTACCGCCGCCGTTCCTCATCATCGTCCTGAACTCATCGAAATTCACCATCCCGTCGCCGTCGGCATCCACCCTCCGGATCATCTCCTTGCAGGCCTCCATCCGCTTCCCTTCCTTCATCCCCAGCGACGACAGCACCGACCCCAGCTCCTCCACCGTGATCAGCCCGTCCCGATCCCGGTCGAACACCTCGAACGCATCTCTCAATTCATCTCCTCCGCTGTCAATTTTGATTTCCTCTGCCTCCAGATCTGACGCCCTCGCCTCTCCCTCTCCGCCAGCGGCCATGTTTCTACACAGGATTTTGAACTCCTCGAAGTCAATCAGCCCGTCGCCGTTGGAATCCACCTTCGCCACCATCTCCTCCACCTCCGCCTCGGTCACGGAGATCCGGATGTTCTTCAGCGACTCCTTCAGCTCCTGCTTCGTGATGAACCCGTCGCCGTTCTTGTCGAACGTCGCGAAAACGCTCGTCAGATCCTCGTCCGCATCCTTATTACTTCGATCAACCACAGATGCAGCAGGAGGAGGAGTAGCAGGCTCGGATTGCTGCTGCGGCGGCGGGGGAGGAGGAGGAGGAGGAGGAGGAGGAGGAGCGGATTTGAGCTGGAGGAAGAGGGAGTGGAGCCAGGCGCGGAGCTTCTTGGAAGGGAAGTAAGAGTTGAGGTTGAAGATTCCGGCGAGGAAGAGGAGCAGGAGTAACAGCGCGGCGGCGATCATTTTTTGTTTTTCTTTTCTCCGGATGGATTTTCGGTCGCTCCGGGAAAGGTGGAAGCAGAGAGAGCAGGAGAAAACAGAGAGAAGGAGAGGGAAAGAAAGGAGTCGTTTGTTTTTTTCCCGTTGGAAGAGAGAGGAAAGATGAAGAAGGTATGAAGTGGGAGAATAATAACGCGTTGTATTTGGTATCGTGGGCCTGCGGCCCAACCGATAGCAACAAATTTCTATTTTATTCGCTCCCCACGCACGAAAACGCGTGAACCCGTATCAACTGCAACCGAAATTTCGATCCCGTGTTGGCGGTGCTACTTGTACTTGGGAGTTGTTTGGAAGTTGCGATTGTTAAATAGATGTATTGTTGAGAATGCATATATTATACATGTATTGTCGAATTTAATGCATTGTAGAATACAACGTTTGGTATGTGTGATTGTGTATATCGCATCAGCTAAAAGCTGAGACAAAACAATCTCAACTCAACTATTTCAACAATCACAACTAAAAGTTGAGATATAACAATCACTCAAAATAAGTGATAGTTTCTGTCACATCATAGAAACAAAACAAAAAAATATGATGCATTGTAAACAATACATGCATAGTGACAATCTCAACAAAACAATCGCAAATTCCAAATGACCCTTCATTTCTTGGTCTGTGAAAGAGATTTGACTTTCTTTGACCTAATAAAGGACTTTGGTGTTAGTAGCTCTTGGTAGTTTCTACACTTCTTTTTTTCTCATGGAAGAAACTAGGGAGGGATATTAGATCTATGATTAACAATTTTTTTAATAAACTTAGGTTATTGTGATTAATTGATTTATTACATGATAGTATGATTTGTATATTTTTATAAGGTAAAGTTGGTTTGTATTTGATGTCGCATGTTCAAGTCCTTACGACCCCAATATTGAGGGTTGTCTTACATTACATGATATTGATGGACCTATATATACTTCAATCTTATGAGTTGATCCTCGTTTGAGGAGCGTGTAAGGAAGTGGTTAAGACCAGAGGGGTGCAATGGGTCGGTCCGTGTCGAACTTCACCGGACCAAACCGACACTTGAATTGAATCATATTCCAATGTGACCCGGTTCTTGGTTCCATGAATTTTATAAATTTTGAATAAAAGTGTGCCGAATGTACTGTTGGTCTAGTCCTTAATTTTAAGATGTCTTTCACTATTAAACCGCGGTTCTAATAAGTTTGGTCCGTTTCGAATCGGAGCACACTTTTGCATATACACACCCCCTAACTAAGATCCACGCATGACTCTATTCAAACAAATCGAGTTAGTGGTGGAAAAGAGAGAGAGAGAGAGAGAGAGAGAGAGAGAGAGAGAGAGAGAGAGAGAGAGAGAGAGAGAGAGAGAGGTTTAGATGGGGCCTGGGGGTGTGGCCGGGTGGGCCTGGGCCTCTAGAAATGGGGCCAAGTTGAATTTGGCTCTGGCCCGCCCATGAGGCTGGTTTTATGATAATATTATGTCAGTTAAATTTATATAAAAGAAATGAATGATATATAGTGGAATTAATCAATTTTAGATTGCAACTTCAACTAATCATAGATACCATGTTTGGTTCTACACCCTAGTTAACACAAAGATGTCCATAAACGTAACTCTAAAGGATTTTGGAAAGTCCATTCCCACCGCGCCCATTGCCGGCTGACCGGTAGGTAGTGAGAATTCTCCAGCTATCTATTCAAAAACTTGGGTGGATGCGAAGTGCTCTTGAAATCAATTCACTTAGCGAGACAAAAGAAAACGAAATTTTTGTGTAGGAGATGAAATTTAAAGATGAAAAGAAATGCCCTCGAAATCAATTCACTTGGATGCGAAGTGCTCTCGAAATCAATTCATTTGAGTGAGACAAAGGAGAATGAAATTTTTTGATTGTAGGAGGTGAAATTCGCAAAGACATGCGAGGAATATTGTGCTAATATGTTACTCATTGAACCATGATCGACTGATCGTATTATTAAAATATCATAAATATGGCTGGAGTTGGATTTAGCTTCATATTTTGCAGGCAGGCCTCCCACTTGCGCCGTACAACTCACCACAACCGCAGAAAATACACAGCCCATACGAAAGAACTGCAAAAAGAGCTCTGTGCTTCAGTTGCCTGACGACTGCCGACTCTCTGCACTAGTCTGGAGAGTTTGATTGGTGATCTTGTGATTCAACATTTCTTTCCTCTTCTTTTTATCTCATTTCATAAATAGAAATAAATAAATAAATAAAATCCTTATTTCAACCTTCATAGATGTGATCCAATAGTATGAATTCAACTATCATCGTGGTTAAAAAAAGTATCATCGAAGAACAAGAACTAGAGTTTATGTAACTTAAACGACCAACCATTATAACCAACGAGAAAGCGCGTAAGGAAACATGTTTTCCTTAGGAAAGACATACTTTATTGTCAATGATACTCAAAAGATCATGCAATTCAAATTGGCAAAGTAATACGGTTAACATCTACTCCACACTCCTTTACTTACTCCACTTCGATATTATTAACCTTTAATCATCTACAACCACACTGCATCAGCGTTTCATTTCTTCTCTAACTGCACAAAAATATACTACTAAAATACATTAGAGAAGCATTCTATTTAAAAAGAAAAATATTATCATTCGTATAATTGAAAGTGCAAGACCTCCTACATGTTATCGGATGTGCCCGAAAGGACAAGATCTCTTACATTGTGAGAGACTTTACAACAACCTCCCCATTGCCATTATTATCTTTTGATTGCATACTTATTTGTACACCTTCCCCTTTTTTTTTCTTAAAATTATCACGAATATCAATGTAGCACCTAGTGGCAAATGTTATTTTCCTAATTCCAGCTAAAATTTGAGGTGTAGATTCGGGAAACGATTTAAAATTGTATAGATTGGGCCCGATATTGAGGGAGGAAAAGGGGCCCACAACCCAACATCATCTTCCGGTTCTGTAGGCCCACTTGCCACTAACATTAACAGCATATATCATCATGTGATCATAATATCTTTATGTTATCCCTCTTTCCATCATCATTTTTAATTTCCTTTGTTCTTTTCCTCTCCCTCCCCTCTTTCTAAATTATATGGTAATAAATGTAAATTTAATGAACAAAAAAGTGTAAGTTATTATAAGAAAATACAGAGTGCCCCCACCTCCAAGCAACATGCAAATATATCCCAACATGTTAGCCTTATGTATAACTTATGAATGACAAATATATATTGTAAGTTTGTAACTATATATATTAACCTCTCTCTCATTGTCACTCCTTTCTTTTTTTCCACATAATTCGGTGACGAAATCAGGGTTTGGAGTGACGAGAGGCTATAAACAAGCGATTGTGTCAACTTTTCAGGATTAAACCTAGAAATTTGGATGAAGATTGAGCCAATAGTGTTCGTCCTATCGCTTTTCAGTGTGTTCTCGAGTCTCGACAGAAGAGATATACATGTAAATATAACCTCTAAAAACTTCTCAATGATGTAATGCCTCCTGGACGACGGACGCAGTAGCTCCAACACCGCAAAGCAAGGCCTTTACATATATTGATCACCATATTTTGGGATACCGATAAATCAATCACAAAACATTGAAACAAATCATCCAACATGGACAATAATTAATCACACTAGCTACTATTATTGCATTATTAGTAAAGAAACAACATGAGGGGATTGGTGACCATATACAAACCCATACCTTTGGTTCTATATAATGGAAAGAGATCTTTGTTATATCACATGCACATGCCACCATGTGCATGAGATGGGGTTGCCCTCCATGGTGTCCCTTGGTAATTATTTGTTACTCTCATAATTAAAAATGATGTCAAACCGTGAACGAGAGTTCGATCTAAACGATACTATCAGTGAATTTTAACAAATAGATCTCAAAGTTCCAATTCTAATATGGATCTCATCATTTCAATAAGGACCCTTCTTTAGGAGCATGTAAATGGGGGAAATTTCATGTAAGGGTATAGTTATAGTTAAGTTTAATAAGTCCAAAAAACATTGTCAACATACATCAGTCAATACCCTTATAATCTGGCTAGGTATGTGTGCTGGAATTTTGTGGGACTACTGCTCAAATCCCAAGTCTCTCCAAGTTCCAACCTCTTTTCTTCACATCCAAGTCAAAGTAACGTATGCACGAATGCATATGGTGATATAATTAAATAATAAACACTTTAAAGCTATGTATAAGTCATGTACCAATTGTTATTTAAAGTTACAATATTTGTATTCATATATTTAAGACACCATAAAAAATGGGGGCGATTTGTTATCTTCAACCTGATCTCCTCACTATAATTTCTGACTTTGTCAATAAATGATACTTTTAGTTATTGACATATTGTTCTATATTGAGTTAACAAACTTGCCATCCTAAATTTTTACATAAACGTTGCTTTACTATGTCGGTTTATTCATGTTTCAGCAATTTCCATATAAGAACATAATTAGTAAGCATTCCTTAACCCTATCAGAACATATAAATGCATGAACACAAATTTTAGCGAAGGAACTAGATAACATAATCATACTTGTTTGTTAAGCTTAAAATCATTAGTCCTCTATAGGGGTGGCCGTTCGATTACCGGTTAACCGGTAACCGAAGTAACCAAACTTCGGTCGGTTTCGAGGAGGTTGGACGAAATTATTTTGGGTCTTAAAAGTGGTTCGGTTAACCGATAACCGAGAAACCAAAATCTATTTCGGTCGGTTTTCGGTACATGGGTGGTTATTTTGGTTAACCGATAACCGATCGATCGGTTACCGGTTATAACCAAAATAACCGAACTGCCAGTCTGCCACCCCTACTCCTATACCAAATATATTGATAGTAAGAAACTCTTCATATTTTCAAATAATTCAGTACATATTTTTCGTAGCAACCCATATCGCACTCATCCGTCACCGCTAGTAAAAAGGTAGAAATCTTTTTCCTATCTCAATTTTGTATCTTTGGTTGTTGAGACAAGTAAAAAAGGGTGGGAAATTTCTAGATACCACCACATAAATAAGAAGTCAAAAATTGGGGAGAGGAAGTTAACCCTACAAAACTTTCTCAACCTCCCACTTCCTCTTCCATATCTCTCTCTCTCTCTCTCTCTCTAAAGCTGCTAACAAAGATTACTCAAGGTATAGACAGACTAGTGGTCCATATGAGATTTTTTCTTCTTCTTCTTCTTCTTCTTCTTCTTCTTCTTCTTCTTCTTATAAAGATGGGCATATGCGAAAGAACCTTTCAGCAGCCTACACTCTCTTCTTCCCTTTGCACCTCTCTTACTCTTATCTTTCTCTGTTCATCTTCTCCTTACCTCCCAACAGAGGAAAACCCAAGTGAAAATCTCGGCTTATTTTACTGTTCATCGAGGGAAATTCACCAATCCAAAGCCCGTGCCATGCTATTCCACAGCTTTCTTGAACTTTCCCTCTGCCTTTATTACCCTTCAATTCCCCACTGATAATGGAGCATGATAATGATTTCCATGGCCGGAGAGCTCAAGAAAGCTGTGGGAGAACATGTCAATCTCTGGGCTTAATTCAGGAACTAGCTAGCTAGCTTCCCACCGAACTGCCATGGTAAAAATTACTGAGCTCTCATCTTACCAGTAAGTTTTTTTTTTTCTTCCACTTTTTACTGTGGTGGGGGTGATAAAAAAGGTTTCACCTTTTTGCATTTTTGTTGGTAATTTCACTGATTCGAGATGTGGGTTCGTCTTGGTTTTTTATTTTTGGATGTGGGTTCTCTTCATCTTCCATGAATTCTGCAAGAAATTGGGTGATGAAGTGGGGGGTTATGGATAATTTGAGTGACTTCTGTGTATTTTTTACCAGCCTCACTTATCAAGTTCTGCATCAGAAGGGATCCAATATATGGAAAGGAGAGATCTATAGCTTAGCTGCAGCATCCATGCAGTAGGGCTATAGCAGAATTTTAGGTAAGTTCCCTTTGGATCAACACTTAACTAGAACTCTGATGGCTCGATCAAAACAGTGAAAGAAAAAGGGCAACAACAGAAGTGTTTTTATTTATATATATTGTTGATAGTGACTGGACTATCAGCCGCTACGACTAGTAGTTGGTGGTCTCGCTGTCCGGTCACCGAGTGGGGTCCAGGGGCAACGCCCCCGGCCTGTGGTGTATGGGCTCAATGTTATTTGGGTTCTGCTTCTGGGCCTGGTTTGTAACCGTTTCCTTTGCCATATTGGATTAGGTTTAGACCCACATGGAGAAGTACTATAAATACTTCTCATACTCTTCTGTAATCTGTAATCTCCTCGATATAGTGAAACTGGCTCTCTCGCCCGTGGACTAGCTAACACACATCGTGTTAGTGAACCACGTAAATCGTGTGTCTGTGTTTTTCGATTCTCGCTTTCGTATTCTTGATTTATCGATTCCGGCGATTTCCCGATCAGCAGCAGTGCGTTTATAACACATATTTTGATATTTTCCTCATTCCATTTTCAAATATGGAAACCTAATAATAAAAGAATGCAATTTAAATGATGGGTAGTTATTATTATTTACAAAAAGAAAAATTGTAGCATTGTGGGGTGGGAATTTTTGCAATGTTGTCAGAACCGAACCGGAGCATGACCTGGTAATGCGAACGGCTCGTACTTTAGCGGTCCAATCGGCATTAGACCGTTTAAAAACCGTCAGAGAACCGGTATCTAATAAACGTTATCGGTATAAATAGTGGACATTTCTTAATCAGAGCTCATCTATTTCCTTCGAAATTGTGAAATGGAAATAAGGATTCAATTTGAGAGCCCGACGTTTTTGGTTTATTTCAATTAAAAATTTTCTACAATTTTTTTAATTAAATTTAGTGGCTGAATGGCAAAAACCGGACGATCGGCTCGAACGGTTAACCGCCTCGGCCGCTCGCCAACGCTACATAAAACCAAAGCGGCTTTTAGACTGTTCCGAGCCGGTTTTGTGACCGGGTGGCGGTTTTACCGGTCGGACCGAGCGGCTCGGCTCGGCTTTAATAACACTGAATTTTTGGCAGAGAAGATACCAAAACTTTCCTTTCTATATGTCAATGATGATAGTTCTTCCTGATGGGAGCATTGAAGAGATGATCTTCTTCTAGCTTCTCTTCTTTACCTTAACTTCTTCTTCCTACATTTCAGTGAAAAAAAATAATAAATGGGGTTAAATTTTATTTATTTATTTTTACCTTATTTATTAAATGACATCATTTTTTAACCACTCTTTTCTTTCTGTGCCTAGCTTCTGACATCACTCCATTGCAGTTTTTTTAACCTTCACATCCCTCTCATTCTCTGTCACCAATTCTGTGTTTCTTTATATATATATATATTTTTTATCTCTTATTTAATTTCTGGGTTTGCTATAGGCAGTCCTTTTGTTGGGATCTCCACAGTGGTAGCTGAGGATGCATGCATCAGGAAACTAATAAAATCAAATATAAAAAAAAAACAACAACCATATGCTTGATTTTCTGGTCTTCTAGAACAAAATTGAATTATTTTGTGCTAACAAGTAAATATTTATATTTGGATGTCACTATTACATGCTAAAACCCAAAATTTTCTGTGATAATATGAATTTTAATTTAATTAATTAACACTAACCGAATACTGAATTGTTTGTTTTTACCCATCTTTCCAAATTTTATAAATAAAAGAAATATATATGTATTTTTTAAAAAATATTTGATTCTTCTACAGAACAGCAGCTAGCCACATAGTGCCAAATTGTGTTCAGCTACATATATATATACAATCACTCTTGATTGGCCCATGCTGCTATCTGTTCAGAATTGGGGCATTTTACATATAATAATAATATTACACAGTAAAATTAAATATGTATGTGCTCTAAATTAAGACCCAATCCACTGCCTGCTGCAGAGATCATAATAATTAGGTGATTCCAACCAATGGGAAGTAGTTAAATTCCTATTTAATTTTCTCAACACAATCCAGTTTTTTGCCCCTTTTCTGTGCAATTGAGTTGAGTCCTTGAGGGTGGCAGGTGTCCAAGTCAAGCAATTTTCAAAACCCACTTTGAAATTTTTGTTTTGCCTTAAGTACTTATTATTGCAATCTGAAGCATCATGGGCAGAAGATAGGGTTAGTTGCCTTATTAAGGATATGTTGTCCTTTTGGTTTGGATGGGGTTTAGTGGGTCATAATTGAAGTAGTAAGGGAAAGCTTTGTTAAGGGGAATCTTTTGCTAATACTGGTAATGAAATGTTGGGGGAAGAAGAAGAAAAGGCTTATCTCTTCCACATTAGTGTTTATCCGTTCTATAGGCTATAATTAGCTAGGCCAATAGAGATTAGAGAGAAGTCCAAATTTGTGAATATGTGTTTAGTGCAGCTGTTGAGAGTAAATTCACTAGCCAGATGGTTAATGAGGAATACCAAAGATTAGAGTTCGTTTTGAGTAGATCGGGATAGGAGTTTGGGAGAAATGTTTAAGCGGATGTGGTTGATTATCGTTGTTTGTTGGTGTTGGATATGCCGACTATCTTTATCTAGTAATAAATTTGAGAAAATGGTAGATATATATATGTACGTGGTTTGATCATTTTTGGTGATGATTATCCTTATATTATCCTTTAAGAAAATGGGTGTATATATATGACCTTGCTGTTTCGACCAAGGCAATTAACTTCGATTGATAACAAGAATGTTTGGAGACACGCGGATTCGAACTCTTTTGTTCGTTCGATCTTCTCGGATTTGGAGGATTCCTATGGAGAGGCGCAAGGTGGCTCCGTTATCTATATTTCAGCGTCCAAGTTAGTACGATATAAGAGATGTTTTTATGTGATTGTAAAGAGAACCACAGAGAGATCGATAAGGTATAGAGAGAACCATCTATGCTTGAAAGTGTGGTAAGGAGAGGAGACTTTAAACCACCAGTGCAAACTTTAAACGCATGGATTGGTTTTCGTTCCGAGTTATTTGAATCAACAGGTTATTGACAGCGGGAAGGATAGTTTGTGGCGGAGGCTAGGAAAGGTACGTACCTGGGAAAAGAGGATTGGCAGCTGATGAAAGGGAAATATGGCTGGTCGTGAGAGATGTTACCCCCTGAAAAAAGCAGTAAATTCATTTTGCCACTTTCTCCATTGGCAGTGGTGGTGGAGAGGGTAAAAGTGAAAGGCAAATGGTGAAAGTCACGTCGCTTTTACATGGGATGATTATGATGCATATACAAAATACAATTTATGAAGAATGGTGTGTGTTTGAATCCCCCAGATATGTTCATATATTTTAACTTGGAGTTGAGACTACATTTGTACATGCGTATGTTATGTAACCCTATTGGAGGTCGTAACAATTAAGTAAATGGTTCGATAGTATGTGTTCAAATCATGTTTCATTCGTTTCATATAGATAAAATCCGATATAAGGTTAAAGCCCAATAGACAGTTTTTCCGGTCGGACTGTTGGTACGATACGATTTAGCAAACACTATGTAATACCACTCGTGTAAAAGGCATCAAAGAACGTATATTTCATCAGCTATACATACTTTAGCGTAAATTAATACAGGAATCTGAGAAATATCTCACGTTCAAATCTACATTTTTACCAAAGTTCCTGTGAAGATCGAAGCAAATGGAGTGAGGTTAATGCTCTAATAATGTATTTTTTTTCTTCAAAACTTTTCCACCGATCGACCTTTAGCTCTTTTTCCTTAGTTCACAAAGCACAAGGAAATAAAAAGAACAATTGTTTTTGTCAACAAGGCAGACAAACTCATTGGTATGGTTTCTTTCCCGGCCACTTTGGATATTATCAAGAGAGGAACAAGCAAACAACTAACTTTTCTAGACCATATAAAATGTAACATTATATGTTTTTTCCTAATCCCAATTTGTTTCCCTTTAAGCATACAACATTAGTGGAGAAGTAAAGGAGATCAAATAATAATGATAAATAATCTCAACCCCACCCTAAAGTGAAAGTTAGCTATGAAACAAAACAAAACCCACACAGCAAAATGCTTTTCCTTACGCAAGATCTGGAAAAAAAAGTAATCGCGAGATCATCGATCCAAATGAATTCAGAATCGTTTCAAGAACATAGTTGTTTGACACGCTTTCACCAACCAGATGAATTGAAAACTCAGCTTTTCAGTTGTCACTATGTATTAGCTGGCAGCACTACTTAATTAAGGGAACATCTTGATTGGATTAGGTGTGTAAAAAGTTAAACCTAAAGTACTAATTAGTGAGATAGAATCTTGATCAGAAGCTTGCCACCACACCAATTTTGGTTGAGGATGACCTGTGTGGCACAGAAGCAACTGCATGTTAATGTGGGGTGGGTGCCCATAAAGTAAGCAAATTAATTGATTAGGGGCCTAGGTGGACTAGGGTGGGCAACGGTCCGATCTAATTCAGATTGAATTATATCGTGAATTGAATTGGATCGAATTTATTTTGATTCTAATAATTATTGAGTTGTAATTGAATTTTGGTCTGTTTGATCATCAATTTTCCTTTCAAATTGGTCCAATCTTATCTAAATTCAATCAGATTCTAGACCGAATCGACTAATACCTGCTTTAGAGGTGGCCAAAGCTAGCTAGTTAGGTGGCCATACTAATTAAAAACAAAGACTCCAACCAAACCCTCTCGTGAGTACTGTTGCAGCTGTGCTGTTCTTGCTGGCTTCGACCTTTTAACATTCCAGCTAATCAAGTTGACAACCATAAAGAAGAAAGGAAATATATAACCCTAGATAGCAAGTACACATTTTTTTTTTAAACCATAGTAGACATTATTGGTTTCATTAAATGGCTTTTAGTTTTATTCTGTCGGCCGGCCAGCGGCCAAAAACATTTGGCCGGCGATTGGCAACAGAAAAATGGGATGGGAAAGCTAGAGTTGGTTTTGAACTGAGAATCAATCCCTAGCTATGTAGAAACAACATGATCTGATTCAGAAACATTTCAGCCCTAACAAAGACAAAAAGGTTTACACTTACCTTTTCTTCTTTAGGTTGATCCACAAAGGGTCTCTTCTTCCTTTCAAGTCGGGCTTGTCTTCAAGCTCAAATTGAACAAAACCCAAAGATCTGCAAAATGAACAAGAACTTACCGTCAGAAAAAGAAACCCTAGCTCTAAACTTGGCCCCCTTGTGTTATATATATTGTCATGAACCAGTTGCTCCCAATAACTCGAGTTGTTGGGAGAGGTTCAATCGTGGATCTTTTACCACTCTCTAACATGCCCCCTCAAACGAAAGCCAGCC